CCCCGCAGCGCCCTTCGGGCCGCTTTGTCGGCGGCGGCGGGTGCCTGGAAGAGATGCCCGTCCCTCAGACAGCCAGACATCTCTGGCTCTCCGCACCCCCCGCCGCAAGTGGCGGCCGGTTTGCGACGTGTGACGTCAGCGGCGCCGGGCGCACCTCAACGTAATTTGAACAAGAGCCACCTGACAGGACCAGCAGGCCCCCTCACTTACCCAGCCGCCCAACAGCTCGCCCTGACCCATCCCCCTTTTTCACACACACACACACACACACACACACACACACACACAAAGCACACTTCTCTCTCTCTGTCTCTCTCTTTCTCTCTCTCTCCCCCTCTACACCCCCACAAACCCACACCCAAAATCCACTTCAAACACACACCAACACCCCCCCCCACAATTTTGAGAGATATGCGCTGCCCCCCCACCGTGTTGAAGAGGTCCCTGACGCGCGCCGCCCCCAGGCCCATGTACATCTCAATGAACTCCGACGCGCTGCTGCTGATGAACGCCACGCCGCTCTCCCCCGCCACCGCGCGCGCCATGAGCGTCTTGCCGTTGCCGGGGGGCCCGACCAGCAGGACGCCCTGTGGTGTGTGCGAGCGTGCGAGGGTGTGAGTGCGTGTGTGCGTTTGCGCGTCGGTTTTGCGTGTTGGTTGAATGCATGTGTATTAGTCGAATGTGTGTCAGAGGGGTATGCAGAGGGGTCATGACCTCGTGAGCTCAGGACAGCCGCCGACGCCAGCGCCACCAGCAGCTGCGTCGAAAGCTCAGCCAGCAAAAAGCGCGAGGTGCGGCGCCCCTCCGGCTCGGGGCGGGCTGGCTGGCGGGTGTGCAGGCGGCAAGCAAGGGGAGGGGGCTGGCTGTCTTGCCTTGGGTGCCTTGGCCCCCGATGTCCTGAACTTCTCCGGCTTCCGGAAGAAGTCTACCACCTCCATCAGCTCAACCTTGGCCTGGAGTTTTGGGGGGAGAGTGCAGGGAGCGACGTGTGTGGCCGCGTGAGTAGCAGATCACGTGTGTGTGTGTGTGTGTGTGTGTGTGAGGGGAGAAGGCGTGGCGACGGCAGCGGGTGACGTGTGTGTTTGCGTGCGTAGACAGCGGGGGGAGAGGCGCTGCCGCTGGGCGTTCGGGGAGAGGCGGGGCCGTCGCCCACGCGCAGGGGGGCGGGGCGCCCGGTCTGTGCTGGCGGGGC